GCTGCCTCAACACACACAGTGGTAGTGGTGGCAGGGGTGGTGGCAAAGTGGTGGCAGGGGTGGTGGTGGTGGCAGGGGTGGTGGTGGTGGCAGGGGTGTTGGTGGCAGTTTACCTGGAGTTACCTGGAGAGAGTTTCGGGGGTCAACGCCCCCGCGGCCCGGTTTGTGACCAGGCCTCCTGGTGGATCAGCGCCTGATCAACCAGGCTGTTGCTGCTGGCTGCACGCAAACCAACGTACGAGCCACAGCCCGGTGGCAGGGGTGGTGGCAGGGGTGGTGGTGGTGGCAGGGGTGTTGGTGGCAGTGGTGGTGGCAGGGGTGGTGGTGGTGGCAGGGGGACACAGTCACCTGGTAGCTGCCTCAACACACACAGTGGTAGTGGTGGCAGGGGTGGTGGTGGTGGCAGGGGGGGGGTGACAGGGGGGGGTGGTTGCAGGGGTGGTGGTGGTGGCAGGGGTGGTGGTGGCAGGGGTGGTGATGGTGGCAGGGGGACACAGTCACCTGGTAGCTGCCTCAACACACACAGTGGTAGTTTACCTGGAGTTTACCTGGAGAGAGTTCCGGGGGTCAACGCCCCCGCGGCCCGGTCTGTGACCAGGCCTCCTGGTGGATCAGAGCCTGATCAACCAGGCTGTTGCTGCTGGCTGCACGCAAACCAACGTACGAGCCACAGCCCGGCTGATCCGGAACTGACTTTAGGTGCTTGTCCAGTGCCAGCTTGAAGACTGCCAGGGGTCTGTTGGTAATCCCCCTTATGTGTGCTGGGAGGCAGTTGAACAGTCTCGCGCCCCTGACACTTATTGTATGGTCTCTTAACGTGCTAGTGACACCCCTGCTTTTCATTGGGGGGATGGTGCATCGTCTGCCAAGTCTTTGCTTTCGTAGTAAGTGATTTTCGTGTGCAAGATCGGTTTCTAGTCCCTCTAGGATTTTCCAGGTGTATATAATCATGTATCTCTCCCTCCTGCGTTCCAGGGAATACAGGTTTAGGAACCTCAAGCGCTCCCAATAATTGAGGTGTTTTATCTCCGTTATGCGCGCCGTGAAAGTTCTCTGTACATTTTCTAGGTCGGCAATTTCACCTGCCTTGAAAGGTGCTGTTAGTGTGCAGCAATATTCCAGCCTAGATAGAACAAGTGACCTGAAGAGTGTCATCATGGGCTTGGCCTCCCTAGTTTTGAAGGTTCTCATTATCCATCCTGTCATTTTTCTAGCAGATGCGATTGATACAATGTTATGGTCCTTGAAGGTGAGATCCTCCGACATGATCACTCCCAGGTCTTTGACGTTGGTGTCATACCTTAGTGGTGGCAGGGGTGGTGGTGGTGGCAGGGGTGGTGGTGGTGGCAGGGGAGGTGGTGGTGGCAGGGAGGGGTGGTGGTGGCAGGGGTGGTGGTGGCAGGGTTGGTGGTGGTGGCAGGGGTGGTGGTGGTGGCAGGGGTGGTGGTGGTGGCAGGGGGACACAGTCACCTGGTAGCTGCCTCAACACACACAGTGGTAGTGGTGGCAGGGGTGGTGGTGGTTGCAGGGGTGGTGGTGGTGGCAGGGGGGGTAGTGGTGGCAGGGGTGGTGGTGTGGCAGGGGGACACAGTCACCTGGTAGCTGCCTCAACACACACAGTGGTAGTGGTGGCAGGAGTGGTGGTGGTGGCAGGGGTGGTGGTGGTGGCAGGGGTGGTGGTGGCAGGGGTGGTGGTGGCAGGGGTGGTGGTGGTGGCAGGGGTGGTGGTGGTGGCAGGGGTGGTGGTGGCAGGGGTGGTGGTGGTGGCAGGGGTGGTGGTGGCAGGGGGGGTGGTGGTGGCAGGGGTTGTTGTGGTGGCAGGGGTGGTGGTGGGTGGCAGGGGTGGTGGTGGCAGGGTGGTGGTGGCAGGGGTTGTTGTGGTGGCAGGGGTGGTGGTGGTGGCAGGGGTGGTGGTGGCAGGGTGGTGGTGGTGGCCAGGGGTGGTGGTGGTTGGCAGGGGGGGTGGTGGTGGCAGGGGTGGTGGTGGCAGGGGTGGTGGTGGCAGGGGTGGTGGTGGTGGCAGGGGTGGTGGTGGCAGGGGGGGTGGTAGGTGGCAGGGGTGGTGGTGGTGGCAGGGGTGGTGGTGGCAGGGGTTGTTGTGGTGGCAGGGGTGGTGGTGGTGGCAGGGGTGGTTGGTGGCAGGGGTGGTGGTGGTGGCAGGGGTGGTGGTGGTGGCAGGGGGGGTGGTGGTGGCAGGGGTGGTGGTGGCAGGGGTGGTGGTGGCAGGGGTGGTGGTGGTGGCAGGGTGGGGGTGGTGGCAGGGGGGGTGGTGGTGGCAGGGGTGGTGGTGGGCAGGGGTGGTGGTGGCAGGGGGGGTGGTGGTGGCAGGGGTGGTGGTGGTGGCAGGGGTGGTGGTGGTGGTGGCAGGGGGGGTGGTGGTGGCAGGGGGGTGGTGGTGGCAGGGGTGGTGGTTGTGGTGGCAGGGGTGGTGGTGGTGGCAGGGGTGGTGGTGGCAGGGGGGTGGTGGTGGCAGGGTTGGTGGTGGCAGGGGGGTGGTGGTGGCAGGGGGGGGTGGTGGTGGCAGGGGGGGTGGTGGTGGCAGGGGGGGTGGTGGTGGCAGGGGTGGTGGTGGCAGGGGGGGTGGTGGTGGCAGCGGGGGTGGTGGTGGCAGGGGTGGTGGTGGTGGCAGGGGTGGTGGTGGCAGGGGGGGGGGGGGTGGCGGGGTGGTGGTGGTGGCAGGGGGACAGTCACCTGGTAGCTGCCTCAACACACACACACTTGCTGCTCCTCGCTCCTCCTCCACATAATGGTAATTAACAATGTATTTAACACTTGTCTTGGCATTAATCACAATTAACCAACAAGTATAATCATCAGTGATCCCAACCACCTCTATAATATACTTTGTTATCTTGTATTATATTATTTATTGATGTATTAATGCAGCCGGTTGACTACAGCTGTAGTTGGTGCCACCCACTACCAAACACCTTTATTTTTCCTCTTATTTTAAGCTCCAGCGTCGCCTTTATTGCTGTATTTTACTATGTCATGTGAGGTAATTGGTGGTGTATTAATGTATTATTGTCATACAGCAGTAAAATACAGTAGGTTAATATTGGAGATGTTAATATGGCAGCAGTGAGGCTCCATCGATCACATTCCTTCAGTAAAAATAATTGTATTAATATTTATTTTTATCTCTACATTCCTGTGTGTTCATGGCAACTATATATAATTAACTTATTCCAAGATAATTATCAATACCCTTAATTACGTGCACGTTAACTTAATTTTGGAATTATTCCTCTTGTTTTTATTGATTGGTATTTTTCATTTGCCGTATTTTCTTTATTTTATGAGAAAATTATTACTAGCACAGAGACTTCAGCAAGTGGCATGTTGCTGTAGTTGGACGCTTGATCCAAGGAATTGGAGCCAACTCACTTTTTTTTCATATCCTGATTTCTCTCTTATTTTATTACCCCATCCACTGGATGGGTCATCCCCCCCATATTACCCCATCCACTGGATGGGTCATCCCCCCCATATTACCCCATCCACTGGATGGGTCATCCCCCCATATTACCCCATCCACGGGATGGGTAAACCTCCCCATATTACCCCATCCACTGGATGGGTCATCCCCCCCATATTACCCCATCCACTGGATGGGTCACCCCCCCCATATTACCCCATCCACTGGATGGGTCACCCCCCCATATTACCCCATCCACTGGATGGGTCATCCCCCCATATTACCCCATCCACTGGATGGGTCATCCCCCAATATTAACCCCATCCACTGGAGGGTCATCCCCCCATATTACCCCATCCACGGGAGGGTCACCCCCCCATATTACCCCATCCACTGGATGGGTCATCCCCCCCCCATATTACCCATCCACTGGATGGGTCATCCCCCCCATATTACCCCATCCACTGGATGGGTCATCCCCCCATATTACCCCTCCACGGATGGGTCATCCCCCCATTTTACCCCATCCACTGGATGGGTCATCCCCCCATATTACCCCATCCACTGGATGGGCCCTCCCCCCATATTACCCCATCCACTGATGGGTCATCCCCCCCATATTACCCCACCCACGGGATGGGTCATCCCCCCATATTACCCCATCCACTGGATGGGTAAATCCCCCCATATTACCCCATCCACTGGATGGGTCATCCCCCCATATTACCCCATCCACTGGATGGGTAATCCCCCAATTACCCCATCCACTGGATGGGTCATCCCCCCATATTACCCCATCCACTGGATGGGTCATCCCCCCCTTATTACCCCATCCACTGGATGGGTCTTTCCCCCCAAAATTACCCCATCCACTGGATGGGTCATCCCCCCATATTACCCCATCCACTGGATGGGTCATCCCCCCCATATTACCCCATTCCTGGATGGGTCATCCCCCCATTTTAAACCCCATCCACTGGATGCGTCATCCCCCCCATATTACTAATAATATTACTCGACTATTTTATTACATGCCCACCCGAGAATAATGCAAGGAAGATGAGCAATGTTTCTTTTAAGGTCAGTGGGCCTGACCCCCAGAGCAGTGACTACTAGGGCCGACTGTGTTTGAACCAAAAGTGTTGATCTTTTATCTATGTTTTTTGTAAATTATCTGGCCATTTATGTTGAACGAGCGCTCATCGTGGAGGTGAGGTCCTCGTGTAACTTGGGTCATACCTTAGACTGTTGTTAATTTCCACCGACTGGTCCAACACTGATGTTATTTTACTATTTTCAGTACATAAACGTGTGTACATTATCGAATAAGTATCGGTTAGGTTACATTGTTTTGGTTATGTTACACTAGGTTAGGTTACATGAAGGTTAGGCTAGGTATCGTTTAATTAAGGTTAGGCTAGAGTAATTTAGGTAACAGCCTGAAAATGCTATTGATCTGTGTTTACATTTGCCTGAGCAGCGAGACACTCCTCAGTTTGTTGTATGACCTAAATAAATGTACTCATTTTTATTACATCTCTTGAAATCTTAAAATCTCCTAAAATAATAGTAAGCACAAGAAATGATTATCCATGGTACACATGAATTATATGCATTAAAAAGTGTAAGAAAATACATTCTTCAAGTAATTGTCAGTGACTATTAGTAAGTTTATTTAAGTACAGGTAAGTACAATTATCATACATAAGAACATGTAAATTACCTAGGATAGCTCTATAATTTATTCACAAAAGTGCCAAGTATTGGGTTGGTCTTGTTGTGGACATGTTTCAAATTGTTCATTTGAAACTTGACCTAAAACCTAGCATAATTTTGCTCCATCAATGGTAGATATGGGAATGGCATGGCGTTATGTTCCCTGTGTTTGGCCGAGCGTGTTACATGATTGGATGCTACAGTAATTGTTCACTGGTTCTAACATAGCACTCGTGCAAAAATAAGCGCATAAAATGACCATCTTTGCCGTACTTTTATTTGAAAATAATGTGTAAGTTCTCACAGGGACCTGATCTCAGTTGCATAAATTTGAGCTTTTCAGTATGAGGAACCTTTGTAGCAAATGCCTTATTGTAAAATAAGTTTGTAGTAATAGTAGTGGTATTATTATATTTAGTAGTACTGGTAGTACAGTGGAACCCCCGAGTTTCAGCTGTAATCCGTTCCAGGAGCTAGGCCAAAGTCGAAATGGCCTAAAGTCGAAGAAATATTTCCCATAAGAAATAATGTAAATCCAATTAATCCGTTCCAGACCCACAAAATTAATCACAAAAAAATAATTTTTTGAAGAATAACTATAGTTTTACATACACAAAACAATTATAAATACATATACAGTGGACCCTCGGTTATCGGCCGTAATCCATTCTAGAAGGTCGGCCAAAAACTGAAATAATATTTCCCATAAGAATTAATGTAAATACAATTAATCCGTTCCAGACAAAAATATTCACAAAAAAAATAATTTTTTTTAACTATTATATAAATATTACATACCTTTATCGACAGCTAATGCTGGCTTCTGGAAGAAAGGGAGGAGGAAAGAGGGAGGAGTTAGTGTTTGGAAGGGAAATCCCTCTCCCTAAAGACTTTAGGTAGCAAAGCTTTCTCTGGGGTTACTTCCCTCCTTTGTCTTTTAATGCCACTAGGACCAGCTTGAGAGTCACTGGACCCCTGTCTCATAAAATAACTGTCCAGAGAGGTCTGTTTCTGGCATTTCTTTAAGATTTCCCTGAAGTGGGACACAACACTGTCATTGTACATGTTGCCAATACGGCCTGCAACAGCTTTGTTAAGGTGAAGTTCATCCATAAATGTTTGAACTTCAGTCCACTTTGCACAAATGTCCTTAATCTTTGAAGAAGGCACCTTCCTCCATCTCTCTTCCTCCTCCTCTGCAGCAGTTTTCTGAGCTGTGATCTGTTGCTGTTGCAGATGAAGCTCTTGTAGCTCTTCAGTGGTTAGCTCTTCCCTGTGGTCCTCCACCAACTCTTCCACATCCTCACCACCCCCCTCCAACCCCAGGGGCATCCCCAATGCCCAGTAGTATTTCCACAACTGGCATAGGTTCCTTAGGGTCAGCCACAACCCTTCAAAATCCCTCTCTTGTACACAATCTGGCCACAAAATTTTTCCAAGCAAGTTCAAAGTCCTGGAAGTCACTCCCTCCCAAGACTTACCTATAAGGTTTATGCAATGGAGGATATTAAAGTGATCTTCCAGAACTCTCTTAGGGTCAGTTCAGTGTCTGAGGGGCACTTCAAAAGCACTTCTGAAACACTGCTTTGGTGTACAGTTTTTTGAAGCTTGAAAATGACCTGCTGGTCCATGGGCTGGAGGAGAGGAGTCGTATTAGGAGGCAAGAACTTCCCGTGATAAACTAAACTCCTCCACTATTTGCTCTTCCAAGTCTGAGGATGAGCAGGAGCTTGTCCCCTTACCAGGAGGCACCCTTGAGTGGCAATTTATTTTCCAGGAGGTATTTCTTCACACTGGGGCCAAACACTTCATTAAACCAGTCTAGGAAAATTCCCCTTGTGACCCATGCCTTACTGTTAGCCTTCCACATCACACACAAGTTACTCTTGGCAACACTGTATTTCTTGAACACACTGGGATTTTCAGAGTGATACACCAGTAAAGGCTTCACTTTAAAATCCCCACTAGCATTACTAGAAAACATGAGAGTAAGCCTGTCTTTCATAGGCTTGTGTCCTGGGAGTGCCTCTTCCTCCTGCGTGATGTAGGTTCTCTTTAGCATTTTCTTCCAGAAGAGGCCTGTTTCATCACAAACACTTGCTGGGGTTTGAATTCTCCAGTGTCTACGCACTCCTTAAACTCCTGTACAACTTATCAGCTGCTTTTTTGTCAGAACTGGCAGCCTCACCATGCCTTATCACACTGTGAATGCCACTACGCTTCTTAAATCTCTCAAACCAACCTTTGCTGGCCTTAAAATCACAAGCATCACCACTTGTTGCAGGCATGTTCTTTACGAGATCGTCATGCAACTGCCTTGCCTTTTCACATATTATCGACTGCGTAACACTGTCTCTTGCTAACTGTTTTTCGGTAATCCACACCAACAATAACCTCTCCACTTCGAGGATTTGTGATCTCCTTTTTGTCAGCATATCCACCCCTTTTGCAACAACAGCACTTTATTTCCTTTCCTTTTGCCACGATCGAAGTGATGGTTGAATGGGGCTTGCCATACAACCTGGCAAGCTCTGTAACACGCACTCCACTCTCATATTTTTCAATGATTTCCTTCTTGAATTCGATCGTGTTCCTCACTTTCTTTACCAAAGGGCTTGCACTAGCTTTCCTTGGGCTCATGGTGACTTATTTAGCAGTTGTAATCACAAAAACAATGGATTATTACATATGAACCCGCGGGGTGGTCATGTGTTGGTAAACAATGGCACACTGAGCGTGAATGGCGTGGGAGACTGGCTTTGTGTGCGCGGTGACGGGTGGACGGGTACCGGATGGTCGCCGAAACATGAGTTTTTTCACGAAACTCGAGGCCAAATTTTTCCAAAAAAAAACTCGCCGAAGGTCGAATTTCACGAAAGTCGAGGCTGCCAAAACTCGAGGGTCCACTGTACTACCTTGGGGGACCCCACATGCTATTGGCTGGGGTTCTTCTTCTGTGTTGTCGATCTTGACAATTTGTTTCCTGTTGCTCAAGTAGGACTTAAACCAGTCTACAGAACCTATGGCAATAGCTTGTAGTTTCTTACATAATATATTGTGGTAGACCATGTCGAGGCCTATTACCTTTACCTTTATACCTTTGAGGAGTTTAAAAGGGTTTCTTTTACTCTGGACCCCGGCCCCAAGGGGCCCGGGGCCGTCTGGTGCTTCCCGGGGTCAACCGGGGCTGTAGTTTGGCGGGAGGCCCCCCTGCCCACATACCCATACACCCTTTGGTTGTTCTGGCACCTGGTAAAAGATATTGTAAATTTTTCCCCTTTTAAAAAGGTTTTCTACACTTGTTCCTGCCGTGTTTTCTGATATTTTTGGGTGAGATGTTAAAAATTTTTGGGGGAATGGGAGTTTTGAAAAGTCTAAGGTTACCATCCCTTAGATATTCCCTAGTGACTTTTCCCAGTTCTCAGGCAATCTATCTGTTTTTTGAGGGAGGTTTTTGGCTAAATTTTAAGTTCAGAGAAAGTAGAAAAAATAAAAAAATTTTAAACACTAAACCCTGGGGTTTCTTTCGTTGAAAGACGTGGTGGAGGCATGACCCCTCTATCCCCTTGGACCTCCGTCTTTCAAAGGCCTCCCGCAAAAAGGGGGGAAAAAACCTTCAGAGGGGAAGGGGAAAGGAAATGGGATAAAAACACGGGCAGAAAATGCATTAGGTGGGGGTATAAAAGCTTGTGTCAAATTTAAAAGGGTTTTAAAGCTTGCTAAAAAAGTCAAAATTTTACACTCAAAATATAAATATGTAAATGTATTCGTGGTTTTTCATAGCTATGTAGATTGAGAAACAAATACAAAAGAAAGAAAAAAATTTGGACTGCAATATGTCTAAAAATTTGGGGCCCCCAAAAATGATAAGGAAACATTAAAAATTTTTGTACAAATATCTTTTATGGTTTTTAAAGAAGGGGTTACCTCTCATCTGTAAATAAAAAAATTAATAAACATTTCCCCGGCCCAGCTCCCGGGTTGGGGGTTGGACGTTTTTGCAAACCCTTTTTGGACAGGCCCCAATTTGCTAGCCGGGGCCTTTTTCCCCAATGGTGGTTGGGGTGAGACGGGGTTTTAAAAAATTGGGGGGCCCCTTTAGTTTTTACTGAGGGGTACAATTAATAAAATTTTGGGGCGTTGACGTTTTTCCCTCTGATTATTGAGAGACAAAATGGAATCGAGGATTGCGACCTTTTTTTGTAGCCTTAAGGGAAAATTTCCGAATGTTGTAAAATTGTTTGTCATCACACGTTTTTAATTGGGATCAAATTGCTCAATATCGGGATGTTTTTTGAGGTTAACGAGGGCCCAACCCGGGTAAAGTTTGGGGGGGGGAGGGGTTTTTCGAGTAATTTTAAAGTAGGGGAAAAAAGTTACGTAATGTGCCTTTGAGGCAAATAAGCCTGCCCCTTGTATTTGTGTTCGGGAATTTTGGGAACTGTACAGTAGCTAAACCCAGGCAAGTGGACGGCAGGGGCTTATGTGGGTTACCCGGGAAAGGGGTATTTTTAAACAAAAAGATGACTCTGAGGAAACCTTTTACCTTCGTTATGTGTTCTTAGATAAATTTTAGGACAAAAATACTCGTAAACTTACGTTTGGCCAACGTAGAACTTGTAGACTGTGTGTGGTTATGTCCATGCGGCTGAATGTGTGCGGCGGAGGGAGGGCCCGGGGAAATCCCAAAAAAAGGGGACTTTTGGGGCCCGAGGGACCTACATTTGACAGATCAAAACCCCGCCGGGATGGGTAGGCGGGGGTGGGTTGTGGGGGGGGGAAAGTGGGGGAAAATGCAACGTGAGGTGGAGATGAGGGGCATTTGCAGAAAATTAAAGTGGGGTTCTGTTTGAGGATGTGATTCACGAGGCGGACAAGGACGCCCAAATGAAAAAAAAAAAAAATTAAAACTTTTGTGTTTGGAGACATTTTTTCAGGGATGTTCCCAA